GGCTTGGTGGAGCTGGGGAAGCTGCAGGGTCAGAAACCTGCAGAGGGACACCCCTGTCTGTGGGTGGATGTGCTGGGAGGGGGAGAGGGACTGGGCTGAGAGAACAAACCAGCATGAGTGTGTGAGGGGACACCTAATGAATAGTGTTTGCAGGTAGTGTATTTCCAGAAGGAAACAAAAGGGAGCCTATTGCCTATAGCGGCTCAGAGCTCTGTTTCGTTGTGTTGCCAGGAAGGGCTAAAGGAGTCCATTTTCCCTGGAGCAACAGAAGCCTCGCCTCCACCATCTAGTGGTGAATCATAGTTATAGCTGTGTTGCCATTTATTGTTATGGGAAGTGGATTGTGACCAGAAGGAAATCAATTGGGTTATGGGGGGGAAACTGTTTTAAAGGGTTATAACAAGGTGAATTTAATTACTGAGGTTGTTTAACACAAGTGGGATCTCCCAGTGTGCTGGAATTATCGACCTAATATTGTAGTTATAAATTTTATCTGAATTGTTAGTTTTATTATTAAACACTGTTATTATATTTTTGTTTGTTTATTTTTCTGTATATAAGTTGGTTGTCTATAATAAAGAATAACATGTTCATCGGGTTCAGAGTCAATTCCTGGGCGGTGAGGGTGAGGGACATCCATCTCCATGGGACGCCTTAGTCAGTAGATCTACCTGAGGGGCTCCCAGGCCTACTGGCACCCGGAGGAGCCAAAATCCAGCACATCACCCAGCCTGGCATGCCAGCATGGGCTACACACAGATCACAGTGGAGTTAGCTAACACCCTCTCTGTGTGGAGACACCTGCAGTTCTGTCACTGAGACATCTGGGCCACACTGGAAAAGAAAGACAAAATAGACATCCTTTCCATCTGGCTTTACCTCCCTGCACAGTGGTCTGACAGGATCCTGATAATGCAGCCCTTGATTTATCAAAGGGCTCAATGGACACCTCACTGGCAGTGCTTATGTCACTCAGTGGTCCAGCAGCCTCATGGTACTTGGCCCAGAACTGAGGTGTTTAGTCCAAATCCCACTCAAGCCATCCTGTAAGGGGAGAGCCATATTCTTATGCATGTCTCCATTCTCATGGGGAAAGGAAGTCCTGAAATGAGACAGCTGAACAGACTTCAACAGAACCTTTCTAAAGGCTGCTTTTTTTAAGCCTATGTATTTTCAGTTGGTTTGCTTTTGGGTTTTTGTCCTTGGCATGTACATATTTATCTATTGTTTGAGCCATTAATCAAAAGTTGAGAGCTGAATTAACTGATCCTCAGGCATTTTGAAGATACCATTTTTGGAGTGCACTGTTGTGTCTCCTCTAAAATGTTGCTCTACGTTTTAGCTTTTTGGTCAGCAGCGATTTCAGAGCAAGGCATCAATCTGATAAAAGGTTAACAGAGGGAAAAAATGCAATTGTTTGCTGAAGTAAATTACAAGCCCCGGTGACTGTGAATGAAGCAGAAGAAGAAGGGAGAGGTCTAAACAGAGTGATTTGTTGCAAATGCCGTGTGACTGCCTGTGTCCTTCCAGCTGCCTGATTGTCACCGTGTCACTATGGATTTCTGCCATGTCAGGAAATATGGGCGTATGTCTGTTGAGAGCACAGGGGAGGATGGTGTGGCATAAAGGCTCTGTCAGCATTATAGTGGGCTGAACACTTTGCTCAGGAGTGAACCAGTCAGGGTCAGTTCTAGTAAGTGACAGTTAAACCTCCCCACTCACCTCTCCATTGTGCATTCAGCATATGCCACCTACTGAGCAGAGAAAGCATTCTTACAGCATACAGTTAGTAGGACTGCGTGTTATCTCTCTCCCTCTGTAAAGTCAGCTGCCATAATTACTGAAGTCAACTATGCAGACTGAAGGGGAGAGAAGACTTAAAACTGACAAACATGAGAAACATCCTAAAATAACTTTTCTGTGTACAACAAAGTTTGGGATGTCATGGTTAGAAATGATCAGAATATATTTACTTGGCCAGTAGAAATTATCCCTCCTTAGAAACTAAGCTTCTATTTTACCACTACATTGTTGCAAGAAATTGGATCTTAAACCTGTTACCAATCCAACATATATATTGCCTGTGTAATATTTGGAGGAGAAATTCCACTTTTGGGAGAAATAGAATAATTCTTGTGGAAGGTGTGTGTGTTTTTAGCACTACCTTAGCAAGTGAAGCAGTAACATGCACACAGTAACTGCAACTGCTCATGTAACTCTAACCACTCTATGCAAGCACACACATTTGACTGTGCCTACACAATGAAAGCATGGGAGGGAGGAATAATATTTTCCTTTTACTCAGACAGAAACTCTCAGTATCTGTGGGTGTGTAGTGCGCATCCAACACCACCATCTGGATGGTACTGACA